TGGCCGAGGCTCAGCTGAGCAACATCGTAATACTCGTCGTGCCATTTTGTTGAGAGTAAACTAAAGATTCCTAGACTCGTCAGAAGTTCAAGGTTGCATACGATCACCAACTTACTGCCACCATCGAGCGAGCTGAGAAGCAGGCGATTCTGGCCAAGCATGCTCGTCGGCTTTTGAACCTCATTGACGATACTCCGATCGTGCCGGGTGATGCTCACCCTGCTTTTGCAGAGGAAGAGGCTGCCCGACAGGTCCTCAACGACGCAGAGGCCGACCTCAGGGACTACAGACTGGAGGTGGAGCCTATCACCTCGAACTCGGGCTCTCTGGGCGTAGGAGCCATGCCAGGTAGCTCAGTCGACTCTAGCGTCGCGGCACAGCCGACCACTATCGACCAGACACCCACCAGGGGTTTCAGTGGTGAGGAGCAGCGATACGAGACCAGCGAGTCTTCGTACCCCACGACTGAGGCTGAGAGGGTTGAGAGGCAAGAGCCAGTCCAGCAAGGGGTTCCGACAGCGGTTTAGGAGCGAATGTCCTCCAGCCGGCATGTTTGAGGATGTGATCTCTGTTGGCGTTTTGATACCTGGTTCCTTGCGTTCACATGTACTAATGAGTTAATATCTTGTTCGTCTCCGGTCAATCAAGATCCGTTGCTTCCCCTTTCTAGTGCCATGTCCTTTACTCCATGGATGGGGAGATGGTGCAGCACAAGCGTAATCTATAGCCGATCCTCGTTGCCTGAATTATGTGCCCCAGTGCACAGTTGAGACACGTGGAGTAAAGTTGGGGGAATTTCGATCCATTTTGTGGCTATGTGGAGGTAATCGATGGTTTTGTGCTAAGCTCTTAATGCTCAATGCTGAAGCCTACGAGGCAGCATCGTAAAATATTGATAGGCAAAGGTGGTCTTGATTGTGGAAGTGGATATAAAGTGGTTATGTACTGTGCGTTTGGCGGGGCCAGGGATTGTGTTTAGCGGAATGTGCCGCCTCCCAAGTCCCAAGAAGACACATCAAGCTCCAACCTCATCCTCAATTTCCCAAGCTCCCCCGCCAATACCGATTTACCCCCGTCACCACCGTCTTCGACTTCTCTAATCCCTCCCGAATCCGCTGCCCTCGCTATGGCGGACCACAAGAAGAAGAGGGACCGATATGCGGGCGCGGCGTACGAGTTCGGAGCCAACTCTGGCGGTCAAGCTGGGGTAGGTGTCCCGCCCGCTGCCCCAGGGTATGGAGCTCCAGCAGCGCCTGGATATGGAGTGCCCGCGTCGCCTGGCTATGGACAACCAGCTGCAGCATATGGACAACCGGCGGCTCCAGCCTACGGCCAGCCGCCCGCACAAGACCCCAATGCGCTCAACCAGCAATTTGGACAGATGGGCTTGGGTCCACAGCAAGGACAAGCGGCGCCGCAAATGCAGCAACCTACTGCTGCTACACAACAGAACCAATTGTTTCCCTCGGATCTCATCGCTCAGCCATTCCATGTCTCGGAGCTCTACAACCCTCCACCGCCGATCCACCTGCCCTCCAATGCCGCTGCTACGCCCTCGGAGTTCGCGAACGAGTCGAGCAAATACCTGCGGTGCACACTGAACACCATCCCCACCAACCACTCCTTGTTGAAGAAGAGCAAGCTGCCATTCGCACTGATCATCAGTCCATACGCCAGCCTACACGATTCAGAGGATCCAGTGCCGGTTGTGCACGACCAGGTCATCAGCCGCTGCAGGCGCTGCCGTGCATACAGTGTGTATATCCAGAATTCTCGAGAAGAAAAATGGACTGACATTGGTTTGCAGTAAATCCCTTCGTCGTACGTTCCAAGCACGACATCCTTCAGCAATACACTTAGCTAACACGTTAGCTAGTCGTTCCTCGACCATGGACACCGGTGGAGGTGCAATATGTGCAATCTGACGAACGACGTCCCTCAGGTTCGTGCTGGGATATCTCGGTGGAGAGAGAAACTGGCTGACTGGCGACATCTAGGCATTTGACTGGGATGCGACTCAACAGAAGAGCGTAAGTCGAACCGAATGCATCTTTACAACGCCCATGTGCTAGATGCTCAGACGCGCGCAAAAAGAGCACCGGACAGGCTGGAGGGACTGAATGAACCAGATTGGAACGACCCTGGTATACTTGGATATCCTTGCTAACATTACATAGGTGGACCGATGGCAACGGCCAGAATTGAATTACGCGGTCACCGAGTTCGTGGCGCCACAGGAGTACATGGTTCGACCGCCACAGCCTCTGTGCTACTACATCATTCTGGACTGCACACAAGCAGCGGTCAACTGCGGACTTCTAGCAGTTGTGTCGCGGGTCATCAAAGAGTCGTTGGGACGGATACCAAACGCAGATGGCAGGACGCGCATCGGCTTTATGGCGGTTGACTCTGGGCTGCACTTCTTCAGCATCCCTCCAGACAACAGCGAGAATAACGACCCACAGCAACTCGTTGTGTCCGATCTTGAAGAGCCATACCTGCCCATGCCTTCGGATCTCCTCGTCAGTCTGAGCCAATGCCGAGCCAATATCGAGAGTTTCCTCGACCGTCTTCCCACAATGTTCCAGAACACCCACGTGCCCGGATTCGCGCTGGGATCAGCTCTTCGTTCCGCCCACAAGCTCATCTCGCCACTTGGCGGAAAGCTGACTGTGCTTGCCGCATCTCTTCCCAACGTCGGTCACGCTGCCCTAAATCCGCGTGAGGACAAGTCACTGCTGGGTACGGGCAAAGAGACTAGCTTGTTGCAGCCAGCCAATAATTGGTACAAGTCCTTTGCCGTTGAATGCTCTAAGAACCAGGTTTCAGTCGATATGTTCTTGTTCTCGTCACAATACCAGGATGTAGCGACACTCAGCAATCTCCCGCGATTCACTGCCGGTCAAACATATTTCTATCCTGGCTGGAATGCTGCAAGACAAGAGGACGTGGTCAAGATTGCAACTGAGCTAGCAGACTATCTATCCGCTGAAATCGGGCTGGAGGCTGTTCTCCGAGTGCGCGCCACGACAGGACTGCGAATGTCTGCATTCTACGGAAATTTCTTCAATCGCTCCTCAGATCTATGCGCATTCCCGGCGTACCCCAGGGATCAAGCCGTGGTCATCGAAGTCGCCATTGACGAGACTATTAGCAAGCCTTTTGCATGCCTTCAAGCAGCTGTCTTGCATACTACTTCGGGTGGTCAGCGTCGTATCAGGGTGTTGACACTTGCCGTACCCACCACGGAGAGCTTGGCTTCGGTCTATGCTTCAGCGGATGCGCAAGCCATCACAACCTACTTCAGTCACAAGGCCGTAGAGCGAGCTCTATCAAGTGGGCTCGACGCTGCCCGAGACGCACTGCAAGCCAAGGTCGTCGAGATCTTGTCAACATACAGAAAGGAGCTTGCGGGTGGCAGTATGGGCGGCGGTGGCCTACCGCTTCCCCAGAATCTTCGCGCGCTTCCGATTCTTTTCCTTGGTCTCATCAAGAATGTCGGTCTGAGGAAGAGCGCTCAGATACCCTCCGACCTCCGATCGGCTGCCCTCGACCTTCTCTCCACACTACCATTACGATTGCTGACACAGTACATCTATCCCAGCTTCTACAGCCTTCACGTACGTCGATCATTCCATGCTGAAGAAGAACCGAATCTGACAATTGTTAGGATATGTCTGATGACGCTGGTGTACCAGAGCCAACCTCTGGCCAGATCACTATGCCACCACAGCTCAATCTATCGTCTGCCGCAATCGTCCCGTACGGTCTGTATCTGCTAGACGATGGTGTCAACCAGTTCCTGTGGATCGGGCGTGATGCTGTCCCGGCATTGTTGCAGGACGTGTTCGGCGTGGAAGATCGTACACAGCTGAAGCAAGGCAAGGCATCCCTGCCGCTGCTGGACAATGAGTACTCGGAACGTGTCCGAGCAGGTCAGACAATCTCAAGCAGGCAGTCAGAAGAATTTACTGATCAAAGTGTAGTTGTGGAGAAGTCAAGAGATCACAAGTCGAAGAGTGTGGGAAGCATCACCCTCCCGACTCTGTACATCATCAAGGAAGACGGTGATCCAAGCCTCAAGCTGTGGGCACAAACATTACTTGTCGAAGACCGAGCAGACCAGGGCGAAAGCATCGTCCAATGGATTACTAAGCTCAGAGAAAAGGTATGGCCAGACCCTGGAGATGTGCCGCTGGTGTTGTCGACATGGCCGGATTGATATCGAACCCGAGTTGCTGACTTAATGCTCAGGTTGTGCAATAAATGTGATCATCTTGGCGCAAATGAAACGGTGAGATGTACGGCTGCCTCGTTGGCGCGTGGAACATTGTGAAGCGGCACAGGAGGGTTGGGTGGTTGTCTACATGCGATGCATCTAGAGTATCAATGCCTACAGCGAGACAGAGGAGTTCGCCAACCTACATGAAACACAAACACACCTACAATGACTTTTGTGCCTCGGCTGCAACAGTCGCTTAACTCAAAAATTATCGTGAACACCGTACAGTGCAATGTCGTGCAGCGAGCAGATGCCCGTCATTGCGACACGGCATTGGAATGTGGTGCTGTGAGACGTGTGTTACCAGTACTCTGGTTCTTGCATGGTGTGGTGTGATGGAGGATTCAAGCTCGAGTCGCAAAGAAATCTGGTCGGTGAGAAAGCTGGAGAGTCAGGACGACGAGCGACTCGAGGACTGCATATCGTCGGACTTTGATTTGGTTTCCGCCTTCATCAAGACTGGCATCTCATCAGATGACACCATATATGATAGCTCATGTTTGATCTAAGACTTGACAAGGGAGATCTTCGGCATAATCCTTAGCCTTGAGCTAAATTCTGTGATATTAGGTCGTGCCAATCGATGACTGCTGACCCCTCACTCAGCCCCGCCGCATGCGTTCTAACGAGTGACCCAACAACACCGCTGATCAACTTCACTTTTTTAATCTTTGCTATATATTACAAATAATTTAATAGTCCATCATAACGAGTTCACGGGCCGGTAACTCAGTGGTAGAGGTTGGTACACCTGCATCTAAATATTTCAGTAACATGATCTAACTCCTTCTCAGTGTAGGACTGCAGTTCACCAAAACCGTCTTCCCGAAGTCACCGGTTCGACTCCGGTTCGGCCCTGCTTTTTTGCGTTTTTCCTTGTTCGACAACTTTTGCAGCGGCTTACAGTCTGCATTGCAATCATCGTTCTTCCTGGTCTTCGCAGTGGACTTTTCGCGCCGATGCAAGGTACCATTGATTTCACGACTTGGTTCCGCGTAGATCGATGACGAAGGCTTGCATTATCTACGGGAAATAAAAGCGAGAAGTTCGCCACGGCAAGCTCTCTTCGAGTAAGGTGCCTAGCTGGTGCCCCTCAACACCATGCAGCCATCGCCACCACGGACTAACTTGTTGGCGGCTGATCGTTGCGTTTCTTTCGCCAAAATGCTGGCGCCCGCATAAGCCGGTAAGGCTACGGCACTCCTCAACTGCAGCTCGTGGACCTGAGTTCTTCGTCTTTGGATGAGTTTGCAACATTTCTTCGCTCCTCAGTTTCAACAAGACGAGTCCATCAGATGTTCAGGTCGGAACATTTTTGTTATCGATAATCTGCGTCAACTTTGCAACGTTCTTACTGAGGCTGCAAAGAAGCTGGGACTGAGTATGCTTCATGGCGCTATCAGATGATCATGGTTGATAATCCTGGAACTCGTGCCGCTTGCGTCCGCAGTGTCCCACAAGACAACCTTTGACGCCAGGGACTTCTGGATCAGCCACACCTGTGCCTGACCTGCAGTCTGGCACTGCAACAACGCTGACTGCAAATTTGTTCGCTTGCTCTGCATCAACAAGACTACAGGCTCATCTCGATTGTCGCTTCATGATAGCAGCGTGATGCGAGAGCAAATAGCAGAGTCTGCACGCTCAAGTCCGGGTGAACGACGGATGCTAGTCGTTCGCTTCGGTAAGGTACAAAAGGTACAACACTTTTTCTGTGGATCATGTTCGAGTCCCCTTGCATCCGGCGCTTGCCCACGCTGCTAGCTTGCAGCATCCAGGCGCGTTCGGTTTGCGGACCCCAACGCGGACTGCGACCAGCTTACAGTCGTCTTCAACCAAAGCCCATCCTGCCGTCTGGAACAAGGCGAGTTCCCCGCCATTGGAGTACTCAGCCAACGAAAGTCACTGACAGAGCATGTGAAACGCGGTAAGAGTGGTTGTCTCGTCATCGATGTCGCGTCCCAGGTACCAGCTTGGACGCCTAGAGGCATAGTTACCTCTGCTTTTGCTACCCGTCTGCAAGGTATTGTGCCATGGCCGTTATGAGTATCCCGAATGCAGCCAGCGCTGCCCAGCGCCCCGCCTGCGGCCATGGATGAGCCTGCGGTGCTCCCGGCACAAGGTGACGATTACTCGGACCTCAGTGAGCAGCATCGCCCATCAGGGCTTGTCAAGCGCAGTCTGACAGGCGGGTTCGAGTTGGGTGTAAGCATCAGCTGGAACATGTCTGGCCAGGCCAAGGCTGCGGCATGTCGCTAGAGCCTGGGATCTGCAGGCAGAGAGCATCGTCGCATAGTGGATCTGACCCAAACCCCAGCCGCCTTGCCAGCCCAGCACTCAGGGCGCACGACAAAGCCGCTAATCGTGCTGTCCGTGCCATACCAACCCCTCCTCGCATGCAGTTGCAACGCAATACTACTCTTGCCTGTCCCAATCCCACGCTGCTCCTGCACCGACACCTGTTCAGTTCTCTGGACTGCGTCGAGCTTGTGCGTCCCTGAGAGCCGCATCCTATCGCGCCTTTGCTCGTGCTTCTGCCTCTGTGCATCGAGTCCACCGCCCGTAGGGAGGGGCTAACCTGCCCGCCACAAGAGGCACCTCCGCGCCTTATCGCATGCCCCCAAACTCCGAGCATCCGTCGCTGTATCATCACCAGCGTCGCACGCCTGTGACAGCCAGGTACCGCGACGCCTTACGACGAGACGACAGTAACGACCTTTTGACATCTCTTTTCCTTTGGCTCTATTCGCGGCGGGCGCCAGATCCGCATGTTGTTGCAGCGCCGCCCTCTATTCGTCATCACATCTGTTTCAGCCTTCTGGCAGCCGCTCCAAGGAAGGAGCAGCCCGCAGTGTCATAGTAATTGCGCCCGCGTAGGGGTAGCCGTGCTTGAGAGCAGTGTTCACATTAACCGCAGATACTGGCCATTTGGTCTGCTGCACAGCTCGTATAGTCGTGAGGATACGCGCCGCAGAGGCTGTGACTTGCGCAGTGCATCCGGTGCTATTACAGAAGAGACGGATACTTCATCTTGCAGAAACTGAGCAGAACCACAATGTCTAGCTTTCAGGCTGTCAACACCACGACGCTGGCGGTGCCTGAGCCGCCGCCGGGGCGCGCTGGAGGAGAGACGACGCCCACAACACCACGACCCAATAGCAGGTTCTTTCCCGAGTCCAAAGCCGGCGAGGATGTGCGTGCCGCCGAAGACCCATCAGTAAAAACGCCAACGCGCAACAGCTTTGCCGCGGGCCTCGCGGGACAACGACCGCTTCCCTCGTCACCATTCACACCTTCGCGCGAGCTGAGCGAGACACCCTCGACCAAGAGCGAGCTGAGTAGAGGGGATTCACACAGGTCTACACAGTCCGTGGCTTCAACGCGAGACGTGGAGATGGGTGAGGGGGATGAGGAGGACAAGGACGGGTCTGACAACGAGAGTGTGACAAGCGACACGAATCGGCCCTCGAAGAAGAAGAAAGGACAGCGTTTCTTCTGCACAGACTTTCCGCCATGTAACCTGAGCTTTACGAGAAGCGAGCATCTCGCACGACACATTCGGTACGTTTGACGCTGTCCATGATGTTTCGGAGCTAAGAACAAGCAGTAAGCACACCGGAGAAAGGCCATTCCAATGTCATTGTTCGCGACGCTTCTCGCGATTGGACAATCTTCGACAGCACGCCCAAACAGTTCACGTGAATGAGGATATCCCGGCCGAGTCGCTTGCAGCGACGGGCACCCGTTTCCAGAGGCAGATCCGGACTGATCGCGTCAGACCACCCGGAAATCGATCGAGAGCGAATACATTGGGAAGCACTGGTGGGCACAGCAGAGGACACAGTAGGAATCTATCAGCCTCCAGCATTACCGCTGGCATGTCGAGCATTAGTGTGGCACAGTCGCCTGATGTGCGGCGCCGACCACCCCCACTAGCAATGGCCAGCGATGGCTCAGCTCGAGCACGGCTGTCTTTGAACACCATGGAAACGTACAATCCACCACTCATGGGCAGTCCCGGACCTCAGATTGTGGAGTACGATGCACAGTCTAATGCTCCGACCACCCCGCAGTCCGCCACATTCTCTGCAGCAACAGGCAGCCCTGCTCGCTTTGGATCTGCCATGCAGTCTCCCGTATCAACATCATCGAGACCTGTATCATGGGCTGGACCACCACCATCAGGTCGTCGTATGTCGAATTCCTTCAGTGGTAATCCATTTGCCGGTGTACCAGGTCAGGCACCGCCTCCTTACATGACGCCTGTGCAATCATCTGCTACTCCGACGTTCTCCGGTCAAAGCAGTATCTACGCCAGTCCTACGGCCTCAAACTTCTCGGAATCCAGGAGGGACTCGAGCGCCGATGCAGACTGGAGAAGACGCACATGGCATCCGGGTGTGTACACTGGTCCTCGCCCAGCAACAAGTGGTCTGGGGTATCATCAGACCCCAGATGCCCCGCGCCCGTCTTTCACATCACAGCCAGCAGCCTCGCAGACTACCAGACTACCTGGTATCGAGAGCTTCGACTACGCACCCCCTGCTCCCATTCTACCACGCCCCCGCCAGTCAAGTCCCATGCAAGTCGACAGTCCAGCTCGGCCACTTACCTATCATGCTCCTATGGATCATGGGCCAAGTAGCGGGCACCACAAACGCAAAAGTATATCATGGGAAACGAATTTGCAGAGGAACATGAGCAATTTTGAGGCGAACAGCTCAAGACCGTCTCTACAGCAGTGGCCGCAGTCTGGCAGTCCTGGACAGGCGAGCACTGCTCGACCTACTACAGCACACGGTTACTTTAGTCAGCCGCGGCAGCCTCCACCTACACTTCAGGCTATCCAGGTTCACCCAGTGGATTCGGCGAGATCATCGCAAGAGCAGCCAGTGACACCTCGCAAGAACAAACGGCAAGCCTGGTACAACGGGCCCCTGACCCAAACGACACGAGTCCTGCAGCGAACATCACCAGAGGATTCGAGCAGCAGCGAGGGAATTCCGACTCCAGGCAACACCACTATGAGCGAGTACCATCCTGCGATCGTGCACAGCAATGGCTACGTTGAGACACACCCTCCAGGTCCACCTGCGGAGGAATACAAGCCCTCACCTCAAGCCTCGATCATGGAGAGGCCACACCCGCTTCATTCGCCGACATACCCACAATACCACAGCCATAGTCTGTCGAGCTCCAGTTATCGTCCGCAGCGTGAGCCCGAGAGGGGTCTGATGACCTTTGGGCAACCCTTGCACCAGCCGCCCGCAGACGACATGAGACGATTGCAAGCGCTGGTAGCCGTTGCTACTGACGAACAGCGTGCGGTGGAAAACCGCTCTTAAATTTTGCCGCTTCTACGCCATGCCCTTATCCCACACCACTATGGTCACTACCTGAGTTTCCTCTGTACGAGCGCACGACGCTATGACTACGACATATATTACGAGTCTCCTTCTTCTCGACGCCATGTTTTACGCCTTCGTTCGTGCCTAGCACTATATGATAGGCTGCCACGCTTTGTTTCGCCGATGGGACGGACACCTTTGGACCCTTTCGAAGATACCCATGGGGTTTGCTCGACGTCGTTGGATAATCACGATCCGGCATGTTTTTGTCTTTGTGACGCACCTGTTTGGTGGTTTCATGCATTAGGTTTCAGCTACGGGTACTTTTTTTTCTGTCATTCGGGATACCAAATCGTAACATAGCGGGCGTTCTCTCGATTTCTGGATTCTCCAACCTATGTTCGCACACTTCGTTGTCGAGTCACTGCCAACCTTTTCGACGTTCTTTCTTTGCCGTTTGTGATGTGGAGGTTCATTGTGAGTTCGCAAGCTGGTAATGGTTGGGATGAT